GGGTAAAAAAGCAAGACCACACTGGTAAGCCTGGCGTGCCCCAGCTAGGGCTTTTTTGTAGTTTTCGGAAACATAACATGAATAGCTGCTGAAAGAAATGACTAAGTATTAGGATTTTCTAAATGTTTATTATGACACTTATTGTGATTTACCACATTTTCATGTTCATTAAGATTTACACACCTATTCCTTTATCTCCTATCGATAATGCATTTTACCATGGTCTAGAAATGGCAAAGTTCGGCGCGAGATAATGATACCTGGCGCAGATCGATAACCCAGATTCCTCTAAGCAATTTGGCCAAAAGAACGGTCGTGGTGGTAATTCCACCAGCAGACGAAACGAACGTCAAGACCGGCAGCAGGCTAACCGCCAGACGATGTGTGTTGGTCAAAGCGAATTGTCAACATAGATACAGAACCAGACTAAGAAATACAAGCGCCGGAGCCTATTCCGTTCTGCTGATGCTATCCCCAAATGCATCTACCTCTCACAGAAAATAAGACGTGGAAGGAGTTTTGACTTCCAGTACATATACCGACTTTTATTCAGAAAATATCAGTAAATTAGGAGAGTATTTCTGAGCTGTTCATTCAAAAAATAGTGCTATCTGTGAAGTACCACAAGACGGCTCCCAACAAAGGGTTTAAAAAAATCCCGTAGTCACAACGCACTGCAACAACGCTTTCCAGGTACCATTACAACCGTGCTGACTATCAGACTAGACGTACACGTTAAAACAGCTAGATTAACAGTCATCATGACAGTTTCAAAAACAAAGATAATTTGGGAACCGAAACGAGGATTTTTTATCGGGCATGAAAAGAGCAGTAGAAAAACAGATATTTAGGACAAAACTGGATTAATGCTCGTCCTTGAATTTCTTGTACAGTTATGTACCCAAAAAGCTTGAAATGAATATAAACAACTAAGCCACTTTGATAACATAATTTTATGCAGAGATGCGATGAAACGAGCAGAAGAGAAACGGATATTTCTGGCCAAGGCTGGTTAATGTCCGGCCTTAAATTTCATGCATAGTTCTATCTTTCATTCCTAAGCTGCACCGGGTACGAGGTTTTCGGTACGCAGCCTCAACTGTCATTTTAAACAATCAAAAACCCAGGAAGCAATGTGCACCTGAGTGTTCGGTATGATTATGCGTTTCTGCGCTAAAGTTGAAGCAAACAGATCGTTAACAATATGATTGGTTGTTGCTTTACAGTTTAAAATGTGCATGCATTCCGGCTGTTCTGGTCTTTCTCTGCATGCAAAGGAAAACAGTGTCAGCTGGGACAGTAGTATTGTATTAAACGGCCACATGAAATCTTAACCTCCAGCACACGTGACTGCAGTAAATTTTGCGCAGACAGGAGTAAAAAGTTGCCGTTACCGGCCGCTCACTGGGAATGCAAATCGAACAGCGAAAAGGGTGTCGAGAGAGAGAGAGAAGGCTGATGAAATCCGAAATAGAAATAATCCTGCCAGGACGTGTTCATACGTGACATAGAGACGTACTTAAGAGCTGATACTGAAATCTCAGGATAACAAACGGACAAAAAACAGCCTTCTTGATTATTCCTGGACAATTTTCTCATCAAAACCTTTACATATCCGCACGTGAGAACCACGCGCACACAGGAGCTGAAATCCCTGGCCGCACGTGAGCAGAGCACTTCTTTCCAAAAATTCAGCTTTCCAGCTTATCTGGTTCCTAAATTGGCAATTTCCGCGCCAAAACTTTCGCATGTCCCTATGTGAGACTGAGGTGAGCGTGAAACGTGATACCACGTTCTTGGGTGGCATTTGTCCAGGGAGGCCACTAGCAAAAATTCCACCATTTGAACTTATACACTGTTGAGTTGGAATACACGCGAGCAGACGCACACTCACGCACAAATAAACAAACACACACACACACATACCGACAACCCCTTGACAATATGCATTTTTGTCCACTGCAGCGACGCTATAACAATGCACCTCTAAAGGCGCACAATAAAACGATGGTGAATACTCCCAATTGTAAGTGGACTGTTGCTAATCTGTAAAAATCGTGCACAGATGCAAAATGGCTGTCCCACTGGAAATATCATTGACGACGCGCACCGGACCTACCCATGTGATCATGCGTTTTTGCAATATTTTGTGCTGCAATAAAATCGCTCGGAAGCCCAGTAGCTAGAAATGTGTGATATAATGGTGCTCGAAGTCCGGGATGTAAATTGTCTACGCGATATTTGGACAGGGAACATTTCGGCGAAATTCCAGCTTTCCAAATTTTCTTCTTGATTTAGCAATTTACTGCCAAAAATACTCACGAGGCCGTACATGACAACCACGTAAGCCCGACGGGTTGAGTTTGGTAAATTTAAGCCACACATGAGGAGGGAACATTTCCTGAAAATTTCAGCCCCGAGTTAGTCATTTCCGCGCCAAAAATTTCACGGCGCCGTACGTGAGAACCACCTGTACTGTGGGGCTGAATTTGATAATTTTAAGTTGTACTTGTGCTGGGAATATTACCTAAAAATTTCAGCCTCCCAGCTTTCTTGGTTCCTGAGTTAGCCACTTTAGCGCCAAAAAATTAAGAGGGCCGTACGTGATAACCACGAATGCCTGGAGGCTGATTTTGTCACACTTAAATTGTACGTAAACTGGGAACATTTCCTGAAAATTTCAGCCTCCCAGCTTTCCTGGCTTTTGCATTTGCATATAAGCAAAAACGCATAATAAAATTACGAGCGTTACATAAATCTTAAAATGAAGATTTAGCCAAGGTCAGCGCTCACAAAATTTCAGCTTCCTTTCTTATTCAATTTTAAAGTAAGAAAGATATCAACAAATTTTCAACCCAAAATCCGGTGTGCCTGCAAACGTAATCTGACTTTATCCGCATACGAATATGGAACGTCCACAAGGAATTTTGCTCCTTATCCCATCTAAGCCCAAAACTGTTTGGCACGAACGTTCTGCAGTGCGGGATTTAAGCGTTAGTGCATCAAATGTAGGAATTCATGAAAGCTGAATTTGTGTTTTTAGGTCGCACATGGACTGATAACACCCTTACAAAACCTCAGATTCTTAGTTTCTTCGGTTGCTGAGATGAAAGTGAGGAGCAAAATCTGAATACATATACAGAGACATAAAAATACATAACTGCACAGTCTCTTGATAACGGACGGTATTTTACCAAATCGTACAAAAAATGATTAAGAAAAATCTTTTCGCACGTTTTATCTCAATTTGCTTGCTCGCGCTCCAAATCACGGTACACTGCGTTACG